AAACTGTTAGAAGTTCATTATAATAGAGTGATCACAGGGTACTTGAATCTCTAAAGAAGCTATCCAGTAGAGGAAAGAACTAGTTACAATTCAAAAATCGAAAAGTTACTCAATTTTTCTCTTCTGCCAGAATAACTGGGGATTTTCAGAAATGATGTTGTGCAATGTTTTGCTAAGCAAAATTAAACAGCAGAACTTTCTATTGACAGGTCAGTCGCTTTATTAACCCTCTGAGTAGCGGTGACATTCATACAGTGCATTGTGGTGGTATTTCTCACGACCAAACTTTCCGCAATTGCGGGCTCGACATCACATGTGTCGAATGGGCGGAGAAATCGATATTATTGCTTTGAATTTTGTGAAAGAAAACAGGATGGTTAAAAGGAAGCAAATCAAAATGCGTCTAAGTCCGCAATTACGACAGACTCGGCGCGGGAAACAGGGCGCATGCGTACTGCTGGGATTCAGAGAGTTACACGTATGCTCAAATGTACGCAAGGCTGGGCCAAAGCAAATGACCCGGGAGCTATCGGTCAGCAAAGCTTTGGCGGTTCACTTCACCTCAGAGGCAGATGATACGATAGATTGGTAGGCCGCTGGAAATGAAAGCAGCACTGGTAAGGGGAGGGACACTTATACCAAGACAAAGAGCGTATAAACCGCAAGAACGGATTCTCGTTTTCCCGTTTACTGCCGTGTTGGCGAGATAGTATGGCACCTGAGACATTAACTTGAATGCTCTGCTTCTCTGCCTGAAAGGCTAGAATCCGACGGCGAGGGAAGACTTGCCGTGGCAGTCGGACGGGGGCGAGCAGAGGCACAAAAGCGCTCAAATGGACTGGTAAAGCCTTGTAACTATGGGCTCGTTCTTCGCCGCGAGGGCGTCAGTTTCATTACGTTAACGGCATGACCTCCTTTTGCAGTAGGCAGATTTTACCCTTTCCAACACTGAATTTATGGCATCCCCTGCCTTTAAGTACAACAATATCCTGTAAAGTCAGCAGTTGTGGAATTGAAGCAGAAAACACGTACATCGTGATTCATAAAAGAATTTTCAGACCCGTCGCCAGCTCCCAGATGGAAAAGAGAGCCACCAACACAACCAAGTACAGTTAGGACTACAGTTGATCCTCCACGTACAACGGTCCAAAAAACAACCATTAATTCGAATCATCAAAACAAAAGCGCACGGAAAACACCAGGTCATCCAGGTGCGTGTTTGTGCACGAGGTCTTTCCCATCTCCTATCCACTGATACAACATTTAGCGCAAAGAAAAAGCGACTAGCTGACACAATAAGCCAGTTACAGACTGTGAATCCAGCGCGTCGCGGGTCACGAGCAACGCGCCAGCGGTCCGAACGATGCACCAACGATTCGAGAGATGCATCAGCAGTTTGAACGATGTTAGAACTAGCGAGATTTCCTCTCGGTCGCACATTGACTCTCACCATCCTCCCGAGAAGATGGCAAGAGTCAGTGTGTGACCGAGAAGGGATTCCGCTAGTTCCCATATCGTTCAAACTGCTGGCGTATCGCTCGAATCGCTGGTGCATCGTTCGAATCGCTGGCGCGTCGCTCGTGCCCCACAATTCGCTGGATTCGCAGTCTGGCACCGGCCTTAGAGCGCGATCCGGCCCAGGGTGCATTAGCCTCGCCACGCCCTCACCATTACCACTTCTTCCTTTACAATTTAGCCAGTAGTATAAACGAACAAACACTCCAACAAAAATATCATTACAAATTACATCACAAAGTACCATTTATTATTACTGAACGATTATATAAACAACAACTTCTTAGCTTCACAGGTATAGTACAGTGACAATATGCGATTGAAGTAACACTCGGAGATTATAATGGACCCTTCAGAAAGGCAAGAAAAAACAACCAAAACAAAATAACAACAACTGCTGCTACCAATATTTTAAGGCAGTCTGTGTACAGGCAGTATTTTCTGGCATATTAAATACACTTATTCCAGCAGTTCCCAGCATGCGATGGACAGCTGTATGAGTCAGGGTCAGCCATGGGTCAAAGATATCTCTCATTCAATTCTCCCCTCCCCAGGCCCTTTTCCAGTTTTCAAATTCTGTCGAGCGAAAACCATGAAGTTCGTTTCAACAAAGAATAAAAACTCATAAGAAACTATGATATACTAAGTTGATTACAAAAATAAATCATAATTTACGTAGATTACTCCGAAATTTCGCAATAGTTTTCTCAAATTTTTTTTAATCACTATTCTCTTTCCTCCCCTCTGAAGTTCCAATTTTGTCCTATAACCCCAAGCTCTAACCTCTCCTACATCGAGGATTCCTGACCCATGGTCCGCCCTGCTTAAATCTGCTTTGAAGGCCATGATAAGGATGTTTCGATATTCTTTAAAGAGAGCGTAATAACTATCGTTCGAGTAGGCTTTTACCACGAAGATAAGCTAGACGAAAGTCGTTTAATAGAGTGGGCAGGGTGGGAGACCATTCACGTTTTTTTTGATTCTTCATATACTTTTGAGTGCTCCAAAAATTACTTGTATAATATTTTCCAACATAAGTTCTATTTTCGACAGTGGTAGACTTCTTACAGCTTCTGTCGCACTGACCTAGGGGCGTGGCATATAGTGGGCGGGGCGTGCGCACTAAAAGAGTTGTTTGAGCCTTGCGTCTCTGAGCCTTAGATACTTGCGCAAATTTTTGGGACAAGGGACGACAAATATTCCCAGCCCCTGTGGATCAAAAGCTCTCACGATTGCTGATTTTGAGGAGAAGTTCCGAACTTGCAATTTCTGCTAGAAACGAACAAAACACATGCAGAATTAAAGGGAAGTGATGAGAGCTAAGGCGACTTAACTGGCTAAAGATCCCGTTAAAAACGATACCTAAGCAAAACAAGAACATTTGAAGGCAGTAGGGAACACCAATTGAGTACAGGAGTCGCAATAAAAATGCTTATGGTTAGGCAAATATGTTTCAGGAACGTCTAAAAAACCACAAAAGAGGGAAAACAAGACTACAAAGAAACAAAATGATCACCGAACCACTGAAAAAAAGGTTACAAAACATCTAACGACTCATCACGATACCACACGACATTCTACACATCCGACGTCCCATGTCATCACAACTGTGCAAACTAGCGGTCCAACCAGTCCGATTGAAAAGACGACGGCAACTGCGGCCACAGATGAGGAAACGTCCGCTGAAACGAAGGCTGATACAGCATTGAGTGAGTTTGTCGTACCCGTTGTTCTTCTCTGTGCGACCCATCCTTGGGTGCATGACAAAGATCCATAAAAATAAAAAAAAAGGATAAAGCATTTGCCGTTGATCAATCCCTTTTGGGATGCGGCACGCATTCTACTTCCATTTGTACATTCGTAGTGGCGTTTGAATGCGATGTGGCCTATACAATGACTTGCGGGGGCCAGCCGATGTACAAGTCAGTGTTTTTATCCTCCCAGACAAGTCTGGTACCAATTAACCGACCCCGGAGGGATGGAAGGCTTGGTTGGCCACGACCCAGGATTTGATCCCCGGACCGCTCGCGTGGTAAGCGTGCCACTTGTCACTACACCACTTCCGCCCTTCATATCGAAAGGAAAAAAAAACATCAACTGCTGTTTTCTGGCCCCAGTTCACCTTTCGAAAATCCCCAAGAATGCTGGGTTGTGAACAAAACTTTCGCCCAGGCGGGACTAGAACCCGCACCTCTCGCTTTCCGGGCAAGTGCGCTACCAGTTACGCTACCGGGGCACCATTTCATCCCAACTCAGCTTTTCATGGTATACGTACCATAGCTTTCAGCACTCACACGTATAACGTGTTGAGCCGGTTAGCCGATATCGGCAATGAACTGCTGAGCTGGAAGCTTTACAGTTCTAACTTATACCATGAAATATACCATGAAAAGCTGAGTTGGGTGAAATGGTGCCCCGGTAGCGTAACTGGTAGCGCACTTGCCCGGAAGCGAGAGGTGCGGGTTCGAGTCCCGCCTGGGGCGAAAGTTTTGTTCATAACCAAGCATTCCTGTGTTCACGACTATTGCACAGGGTCAACCGTCCGTTGGACAAAGTCCAACGAGGGGGTGGGGGGTGGTATTTGGGGGTGGAAAAGAGGGGGGGGGGTCGTATTTCGCGAGTAGCGTCAATGTTACAGTAAGGGAAGGGATGATTTTTCATGGAACGGAGAGCGGATTAGGTTGTTGGCTGGGATTTTGAGTGCGAAAATTTTGCCGTTTCACATTCGATATACCCCCCCCCCGCTCGACAGCAATTTTGGAGGAAAAAGTGGGCGGAGTTGGGCTGTGTCGACTGGTCTCAGAATCAAATACTATAGAATCGCCCCCATGATGGCGATGGAGGGGGGGGGTCGTATCGAGGCCCTCTAGAAGGGGGAGGGGGTCGCAAAATTTTCGAAATTGGTCCAACATGACAGTTGACCCTGCCATGTACCCAAAATGGAATCGGAAGTTGTCTTTTCCGGTCTCCGCCTGAGCCTTTCGGTACATGGACCATGCCAGAGAGATCAGCCAGTTCTGCCGCAAAAAGCTAAAGCGTAGACTGACAAAGGACTGCTTTTGACCCGCAACCCAATACAGTAGTCAGAGAACACTATCTAGGCAGGGGATCTCAGACTAAAGCAGATCGACAGTATTTGAATGCTTCGGTCTAACTGGAGCGATTTCGACCGAGTGTCGCGATTGTATTTTTTATGTGCCCCGCATCTTTGACCCTTAAATAGGTTAAAAAGACCTCGAAATCCAAGCTAACTCTAATGACTACAAATTTTCAGGAAAAGAAGTTACTTTTACTGCTGTACCGGTACAAAACGCATCGGAATCAGGTGCTTTTGATGAAATTAAAGAACAACCACAAATTGATATTCCTGATGAAGAAGATACGAAACGTCAAAAAACGTAGGTACTTTGAAGTTTACTTACTAGCAGGGAGCTATTATAAAATACGGGTACATTGTGGTGTCGATGCATTTGAAACCGCGCTGAACATGTTCTTTCGTGCCGAGTACGGGGCTAAACCTTAGGCGGAGGAGGAGAGACTCCATAGCGCGAGAGCCATTCTCATTTTTCCCGGCGCTCTTGCCCCTTCTAAGGCTTAGTCTGTCGGATGCCCCCATATATATCATAGCGCCTCTAGCGGTTTAGTTTGCAGCATCACGCGCTGCGTCGAAATGTATGGGAGATAGCGCTACACTCTCATATACTCAAACCCATGACAGGAGGCGAAGACTCAAACCTGAACCATAAGGTGTTAAAACCATAAGGTGTTAAAAGTGTTCGCCAGAACGATGCAAAACCATTTTCTCGTGGGGATAACTTCAGAGCAGCTGAAACTGTTTTCGACTGTTAGGTGCTGCTTTTGGCAGCAGTTCGCCTAGCGGAAGTTTCACGGGAATGTTGGGTTCTAATAAGGGGGGTCTTTCAGGGCAAGCCGCGCTTTTCAAAACGGTTTCTGCATATTGTAGGGACGCATGTATGGACCACAAAACCATGTTTCGTTTTCGCTGAACGGTTTTAGTAGTATCAAAAAAGTGGTGAATAATACCCTTGATGGTTCGATCCCCCGCGGCGACTAAATTTTGCAATCAAGGTTGGCGGCTACTTCAAAATGGTCCTGACGATGAATATGACATCTGATTTTGACATTTAGCGCGATTTGGCACCAACCCGTAGGCGCCAACCCAAATGCAAAATTTAGTCGCCACGGGGATCGAACCATCAACAGTACCTTTTTTTTTGGTACTACTAAAACCGTTCAGCGAAAACGAAACATGGTTTTGTGGTCCATACATGCGTCCCTACCGTTATCCAAAAAGCGCGGCTTGCCCTGAAAGACCCCCTTGTTAGTAACACTTTCGCCCCAGGCGGGACTCGAACTAGAACCTCTCGCTTTCCGGGTAGGCGCGCTATGTTATGCTACCGTGGACCTTCCGTGGGCAACCTTTCAACTTTTAGCAGCTTTTGAGCCGCGGTAGCGTAACTTGTAGCGCACTTGCCCGGTAGGCGAAAGGGGCCGGTTCAAGACCCGCTTGCGGTAAAAGTTTTGTCCATTTAAACGCCAGCATTTTTGTGAAAAATAACTGTTTTTTTTTCGATATCTCAATTCTTCAAAACACATTGAATCGTAAACACTAAAAGATACATCAATATATGAAGTGATTCGTTCAAGTGAGATAAAATGATGCACGAAAAATTGTTTCGGCTAGCACTTTTGGTCGCTACTGCACTGCCAACTGATTCGCTAATCTCAAGTAAAGGTTATCTATCCCACAACAAAGTATAATTCAGGCTATATATTCCAGGACTATGTTCCTGATCATTATGGGAGTGCTCGCGATCGCTCACGTCTGCCTCATCTCACTCCTTATTCTCTCATGCCGATGCTACGTTGACACGCCGTAATACCCAAAAAGCCAACAAGAAGGGGGCAGGAGCCAAATATACGCAAATGAAGCAGCCTCAGAAGATGCCAAATGTACCACCAAGCCGAAGAGACCAACAGCAATCTGATACCTTGGATTTGTGGACGGATAGGAGACCTTCAGATACTCGGCTGCGTCCATCTCGCTAATGCATCAATTCTAATTTTTAAATCTTTAGTGAAAAAAGAAAACATTTCCTATAATGCCAAACGTACACTTTTTACAGCGGTCAATACTCTTATACAAGCATTGTTTAGAAAAGAAAACCATGTTAATGTGTTTTTGTTTCATTGAATTGTGCATTCTAGGGAATTTGTCCGCATGTCCCTTTAAATTATCGCACTCTTTGCTTAATCCATTTTAGCCGGGTTATGTTACAGAGGCCTCATTAATAGGCCACAATAAACTGTATTTTTTTTATTATTTTTTCATGCCTTTTTTGTATTGAGTGAAGAGAATTAATGAATGTAATCTATCATCGACTATGATCTTCTCGCCTATGAAAATAGAAGTCTCACTGAAGATGTGGTCAACACAGCGACAGCGCGGCAACCATATATGCCACCCCTTGTAGACACAAGGACGGGTGCGTCACTATATTATGCCCACCATCACACCATTTTTCGAGCGACCAAACTTACCATGTGTGGCACAGATGGCTCAAACATTGTTTTGAGGTTTAACAAAAACTTTCCAAGCCTATGAGAGCATCAGTTCAGTTCCTTTCCTTCACCAACATAAACATAAGGTAAAATAAGGTGCTCAAAGTGAAAACCTATTTCAGATGGCAAGATATTTTTTACAGAAACAAAAAACTCCAAAATTAATTAAAGCTGCTTAAGCGGAAGTAGATGAGCTTCTCTAGCTTTCTCCAGACCCTCAACCACTGCAGGGTGTGCTAAACATCAGCGGGGCATCCTTCAGTGGGCGTCTTGTTACCCTCGACAGAAGATGTCCTGCCCATACTTCTCATACTTACAGGTTCTACATGCTCTCTTGAGCACTTATGGATCAAATAGTGAGCCCACAACCTGAGCCTTAACCCTTTTGGTCACGATTAGTAATAAATTCAGCGCTCCACAATACATTCACTATAAATGTGCCGCTAAAATTCTATGGGTTCAATCGCTGGTTAGAATACTCGCTACCGAGACCTAACGAAACCCCACAAAACTCACCCGCAAAGTTAATTTCCTTACAACAGTCGAAGAGATGGACCTTATCTGAGCGTTTATAGTTGGACCTGGTCAAAAATTATACACACTAACAAGGGATAGATAGCTTTCATATCTCGCCTATGACCATCGCATGTTCAAAACGAGATATGTTGTCCAAAACAGCGGATAAAAAACTCTATAAAAAAACTCACTAATGTTGACAGATGAAAGAAGACGCGTCAGACTATCATCGCCTGCATCGAACGCAGCGGCAGCGGTACAATTGAACGACGTCATGTAGGTCTAGACTCCGCCAAGGACATCCATCTCAGCACTTTTGACGTAGCAGACGAAAATCGCGAGCTGAAATACGCACGAAGTAAGGTTACCATCAAAGGAGGGGAAGTTTCAGAACACGGAACAAGGCAAAAAAAAACATCAAAATAAAAGCTAAAATTAAAATAGGCAACTGTTGGAAAGGAAACGGCAAATCGAATACGTTATGACGGTTCCTTTTCATCTGCTCATCAACACAGGGTGAGTACGGTCTAGATGCTTTTCTAGCGTTTTGCGCGTGTGGAAGTAGGGAACATATATTTGGGAAAGGGATCCGAATCCATATCTGGGCGATAGTAGAACAGGGGTGGTAAGAAAATAAACGCAAAAAACTGCCCGAACCCCTTCCTTGTTCCTACCCATCATCTGAGTAATATACTCATTTAATGTTGTATCATCGAACTCCGCTGAACATCCAACTTCTACTGAGATGCGCCTTCCTGTGGCTTGAATACCCTGAACACGTAAAAATTAAAGAGAAAAATAGAAAAATCTAGAAAAAACCTTAGCAATGCATACATATTGAAGCACTTCTATGCTGATAAATTTTCTTTTAAACTAACTTCATCAACTAATTTCGCCAAAAATTCATTGACCAGTTCGTCCGAGTACACAATTTGCAGGCACCATTCAGCATCTTTTGTCGGATTCCGAACAACAATCACCAGTATACGTTCATTATCTAAATTCAGCTCTTCAGAAACCCGCCCAGATCCATGTCACAATGGTTTGAATGAACCCAAAACATGAATACCCTATCCAATACATAATGAGTTGGAAAAATAGAGAACCGCAACGCTCACCTGATTCAAACAAATTCTCAACACGTCGAATTAGCCTGAGCAGATGACAGCTCTTCTTAGTGAACTTCAATGTTGCTGGCTTTCTGTCGTAAAAAAGGCCCCGCAAGATACACTTAATACCCAGGCTCTCAGCCATCTGAATGCATGAAGTGATCATTTACGAAATTGAAATGGGATATAAAACAAAAATCCAATGGTAATTATATGGGAGAATTGAGCCGGAATAAAATAGTCACGCAATTTTTATGCTAAAAAAAAAAGAATAGTTCCTTTATCCATACTACTGCTTTTGAATAACAAATCAGATTGAATAGCCGACTTCATCAAGTCCCACCCCAATCGACCACATTACTAATCACATGTTTTCTCTAATCTGAATGATAATAAACCAAGAATTCTAACCCTCCCGTGCTTACAGAACCATGAAGGAAGAGAAAATGTTAGTCGGGCCCAATAGCAAAGCTCAGGCATTGTGTTGTCTCATTATGTTATCAGCCATTCCTTTTAGCCCTGGACTTCTCGGAAATAAATAAAAACAAAACTTGTTAATATTTTTTTAAACTTTAAGATATTATTTATCAAAATCATACCAGAACACAGTCCTTGAAAAGGAGCAGCTCCACAACATAACAATTCCAAAGGTTATCGCCATTTGGTATTGACAGGAATTCCAAGGCACAAACAAACTGACGAGGTGATCTCAGAATGTGACCCTGGAAATAATTAAACTTTTCCTAAAGTATTATTATATGAGAAGTGTTATATATTGTACTTAAATAGTTTTCCTGCGAAAATAATATTATTAGGATCTTAATATCATGTCAAAGAAAGCAGAAAGTTTGCCATAAGGAGTAGAAAACTACATTCAAATCGTGGGAAACATACTGGCAAGTCCTGTATCTTCCTAAAAATCGCTTCGCTTTCCGCTCCCAGTCTCTTGCTTTCGTTGATGGTTCTTAAAAATGCCCAACTTCTCCACAATAACATTTCGAAATCGTATTGAGAAAGGCAAGTCAAAGAGACACGGTTCCAAATGAACTTTTTCAGCTTGTTTCACATTCATCAATGCAATTCAGAATACTCACACTAATTTCTATTTCAGATATGGCATTGTATGGTGTCAAAATCGGGTCGAGCGTGGTCGTTGGTTTCGAATTTCTGGAAAAAGTAAAACGAGTGTGTGAGAGTGGTGATATATTAGAAGAGCGCGATGCAATACTGTTAGCAGCCATCACTTCGCGACAATTATTGTTAGACACGGCGCTAACTAAGTTTTACCATTTGTTACATACCCACAGAATGACGCAATCCAGACACAGAGAATGAAGTATATGAACGCACGCGCGTATAAACAAAAATCCGTGAAGGACTACACTACAGAGGTGTGAGTGGTGTTTCACGAAGCTGTCACTCTCAGATTACCTAAATTTCTTCACAATGTGTTTTATTTATTAGTTGATTCAGCCCACCCAAGAGACGCTCAGACCTGATTCCCATATGCACAAGCAAGTGATTCACTGGGTATTAAGCGGCAACTAGTGTGTGTCGCAAATCACGTGTGTATAGTATGTATGTTTGAGTATCAGCAGTTCGTGGTAGTGAGAGAGTCTGTGTGTGCTTGTCAACGTAGCCAGCATTCTGCTAGCAATCTGGATTTTGCTACAACGTAATCGCTAGGGATACTGCTTATTCGATGAAGTCCCCTGATTCAAATAGTCGAAAGTCAAGAATTATCCCGGTGCACCCTATTTCATGGGACCAAAGGTATCGACATATGCATTCTTGTTTTGCCAAATGAAAAAGCATCGCCAACCTCTTCAATGACGCAGGACGGAATTTCTGCGGCGTTTATCTGCTGGAACTGGTATGGTTCAAAATTAATCAGCCTTTGCTCCCTATCGATTCTACACGCTCTTTTTCCGGAAATCAAAAATCACATTCAGAAACGTTTTCAATTTCCTACTGCGAGTTTTGAAAAATCTTAACAAAATCTTAACTAGAATGTGAGTTAAGGTTTGTGTCAGAGCTCCGCGATCTGTTCGAGCAGTTCGCGTTTTTAACGACGGATCGTGCGACAAGTGACACCATTCTTTACCACAGGACAATAATCAAATAAAGTTTATATTGTCTATTGATATATATAGTATTGAGAGCAGAAGGAAACAACTGTTCGTAAGCGATCGACTTGAACGACTAAAATCAAATTAGAAACGGGTCTGTGTGTATGTTAGCGAGGAATAAAAACACCTAAAGAGGCGAACCCTTCGATCGTGCCCGGGCTAGCACCACTCAAGTGCTATTAGCGATTCCGAGGCGTAATGCGAAAGCGTGAACGAATAACAAAGAAGATTGATTGAAGTAGTCCAACTGCCAAAAATTGCGGCCGATTGGAGGGAATTATGTTTTGTATACTGGGACGAAACTTGTGTCGTGGAAATGCGTTGCTGGTTTTCCAACGCACATTATGCTTTGTGGACTTCGTGCGGTGTGAGCTCCCCCCCCCCCGCGGAATCAAAACAATTGGTACCAGATCTTTTTGTGAACAAGAGGTGTCTTTGATTTGATGACTTCATCGGTTATCCCACAGAGTAAAGCCTATCATGGACCGTAATGGTCATTCAAACTTGCCCCTCAGCGAAATCAGAATGAATGAGTGGATGGGATGATGTATTCAGAAAAAAGGTTGTATGAACACCCAACCTTGCTCAGTTTTCCCTCTATTATCCTACTTACCACCATAAATGCATTGAAACGTCGCCATTCTTCTTTTTTTCTGTGTTTTCCCAGCATTACTGGAAGAAGTTTCCAACGCATGAAAATTATGGCGAATAGGCTTCTATGAGGAATGGAGACTCCTCAACGAATATCTAAACATGTGAGGATATTGAGGGGTTTATTGGAGGAGCAAAACGGTGCAAAAAGACTCAACACATTCAGATCTTTCATAGGTAATAACTTCGTATAGTTGGTTCATAACACACAGTACGGAAAGCAGGCTCACATCTCCAACAGTACTGTGATCGTTCCATGTGTCCAGTACTTGACCCATTCTCTGTACAATTTTGTCGTGGGCCTTCCGCATCACTCCGTACACACCAAACATTATGTCGTTCGCTTCCGCTGGCACATATACGTTCTCTTCGAAAATCTGAAGAGGAGCTTGAAACACTAGAAATTTTTTTTCCGATTCGGGTCACACTACGGAAACACGAGTATGTTAGCAACCATTATCATAATCTTATGGGCACCCGACAGGACGCCCATCGCGCGTCAAGGAGGCAGAGACGCGGACGGGTCAATGGTCGAGTCGCAGCGTGCTTTGCAGTGGTTTCTCGCCATCTACTATATATAACGGCTGCGTGGTCTGTTTCGGGTGTGTGTGGTGGTGTGTGTTATGTTTTGACGGAAATTTCATAGCTCGAGTCACAGTAACGATAGCGCAGTGGTTCTTAATATGTTATAGGGGGTGGGATGGGGACACAAGTGGTACGTGATAGGAACTGATAACGACTGATAATAGCTGATAAGAGGGGCTAGAAAGCGAGCATCGCCAATTTCGTTTTGCCGTTCATATGGTAAAAGAGCGTCTATACTTACAAGTCTTATGTGGGGCGGTCCCGGGACATTGGTGGTACATGATTGGAAGCGATAGCAACTGATAATGGCTGATAAGATGCGCTAGAACGCAAAAGTCGTCGATTCCGTTGCCTGGCTCGCGTTGACACCAGAGCAACCATACTTACAAGTGTTATGTGGGGTGGGACGGGACATTGTTGGTGGGTGCCAGAAACTGATAACGATTGATAAGGGCCGATAAGGCGCGCCAGAACGCTGAAGTCGTCGATTCCGTTGCCTGGCTCGCGTTGACACCAGAGCAACCATACTTACAAGTGTTATGTGGGGTGGGACGGGGACATTGTTGGTGGGTGCCAGAAACTGATAACGATTGATAAGGGCCGATAAGGCGCGCCAGAACGCTGAAGTCGTCGATTCCGTTGCCTGGCTCGCGTTGACACCAGAGCAACCATACTTACAAGTGTTATGTGGGGTGGGACGGGGACATTGTTGGTGGGTGCCAGAAACTGATAACGATTGATAAGGGCCGATAAGGCGCGCCAGAACGCTGAAGTCGTCGATTCCGTTGCCTGGCTCGCGTTGACACCAGAGCAACCATACTTACAAGTGTTATGTGGGGTGGGACGGGGACATTGTTGGTGGGTGCCAGAAACTGATAACGATTGATAAGGGCCGATAAGGCGCGCCAGAACGCTGAAGTCGTCGATTCCGTTGCCTGGCTCGCGTTGACACCAGAGCAACCATACTTACAAGTGTTATGTGGGGTGGGACGGGGACATTGTTGGTGGGTGCCAGAAACTGATAACGATTGATAAGGGCCGATAAGGCGCGCCAGAACGCTGAAGTCGTCGATTCCGTTGCCTGGCTCGCGTTGACACCAGAGCAACCATACTTACAAGTGTTATGTGGGGTGGGACGGGGACATTGTTGGTGGGTGCCAGAAACTGATAACGATTGATAAGGGCTGATAAAAGGCGCTGGAACGCAAGTGTCGCGAAATTCATAGCGCGGGTACCAGAAGTCATCAGGAGTTGATTTCAAGATATGGTACAGGGGGTGGGACGGGAACATATTTGGTGGGGTACAAAAAGTGATAACAACTGATAAGGGCTGATAAAAGGCGCTAGAACGCAAGTGTCGCGAAATTCATAGCTCGGGCACCAGTGGTCGTCAGGAGTTGATTTCAAGATATGATATAGGGGTGGGACGGGAACATACTGGGCGGGGGACAAAAAGCGATAACACCTGATAAGGGCTGATAAGATTGATCAGGTAAAAATGAAGAGCCGTTAAAGTTGTTATCTAGATGGCGACAAAAATACTATTTAGTTTGCGATTTCGTCGTTGCCATCGAGATTGCTTAGACCGCTAATCTTTCCGAGCTTTCTGGGATGGTCGGTGTTTGTGCATAATGGGTGTTGGTGCTTCTCTTTCAATGCCATAGACGTAACAATGGACGTAAGAATTGCAACCGCTAGAATATCTCAACATCCAAAGCATGATAGTTGTCCATGCATAGTCCTGATAGCGTAAACAACTATCGTGCAACTTCAACAAAGGTATTAGTTATCTGAGCTTATTCGGCCGCTAGACCATGTTAGTTTCCGAAAAATGATGGACGTTTGTGGGGTTGACGAGCTCCCGTAAATAATTGCTTTATCACCAGCAGTATAGTCACCTTCGTTGATAACATCTCTCAGATTCATCAAAAGCATGAGTGCTGTTCAACACAAGGGCCCGGCTGTGCTCATTTTTGTTACCGCCTATGTACTTTGACGCGCGGTAGCGAGCGAAGCCAAACTCATTAAACCGCTCAACTTTAGGATTTGCGAAAGTGTGAATGTAAAGCAAAGATAAGCATCAGATCTCACTTTTTATAAGGAGCATATTTCATTTTCATTCTAAGGCTAACAGCAAAACTCTAATCACCGCTAAATTGTCAGGATTCAAGAAAAATGCTAGGTGTTTACGAGTTGTGATAAATATACCGACTCAGCTTCGCATTCACGCGCATGTATGATGGACTTCAATGAAAGTGACGATCCTCCAACCTCAGGTCACTCCACTGACATATCCAATAGTGAGCTGCTTTGTGGAGTAGATCACCAGATGTTCCTTAAGTCCTCCAGTTTCGCTGAAGCCTACCGTGTTATGCGCGCGATAGCGAGCGGAGCAAAACTGGTGTTATAATAATGTATGTTCTATGGTAACGTCCCACATCACACAGCATGCACTGCGACGTTCGTCCGCAATAACTCTGCTTCTCCACGCGAGAAAGCCCTCCTATCGAGGCACTCCAGTACATATTACATCTTTTCTAAGCTCACTCTACTTTCCCAGCCCACTTCTACTCCACTTACTCTCACTAAAAAATCCGATGCTTTCAAGCAATTGACTTCCGTTTTGAATAGTTCCAAACACAGCTGGTAACGCTTGTACTTCTTCGCACTTGACTCCGCCCGCCTTCTGGAATAAAACATTTAAAGCATTCAGACTGGTAAAATAACACAAGGTATCAAAATATTCCCAGGCTAAAATGCCTAGCCAGGCAACGGGTCACGTTATTTTACGAAAAATGAAAAAAAATCCAAAAAACTTGAGTATCATAAAGAGTCTCCTTGCCAGAAAAGGCCGCTGTCAAAGCAAAATCGTCAAACTTAGAAAATCTTTTGTCCTAGCTATACATATCCCAACTCTATCTTTCTGTATGTTGGTTTGTCAGTAGCCTCCTTCTTTACTTGTGACACTCAGAAGAACATGGTCGTCCTAACAGCTTTTCGCACTCCTAATCTCCCCAAAAGTCATTTCCGATGACGACAAAACGGATATTTCATCAAATACTTGCTCGAATTCAAGCGCGTCTTCTTACTTCGAAGAAAAGAGGTGTTTTTTAATGCTTTCCTTTCGTCGACCAGTGAATAAGTACAACTGCAATACCATAAACATCACAGCAGCGGAAGCAAAACCCACTATTTCTTCCCATCGATTTTTTCAGATCAATTGCGCCAAAAAATGATGAAAAATGAAGCTGAAAGATCTAACTGAACAGTTACCTCCTTTGAAATCTCAGAAAATATTTGGTGGCCGCAATCGATTGTGGCTTCTATCCATGTTGTTAACTCGAAAAACACTTCTCATTTGACACCATCCCAGATCCATTACTCTTCTCGAACACTGAAACAAAAACGTGGCACCAAATGCCAACTTCTACAAAAGGCAGCGCATCGCAAGTTATGTAGATGACAATGATCTGTTCTTACATCCATAGTGACAAGGTATTTCCCATGACATGATGCTGGTGGCCGTAAATCAGGCGCAACCACTACATGAGTTGCTTCCATTGTTGATGTGCTTACGTGACCGCCTAAAGTATAGCTCAATTACAAAAAGAGCAAAACAAGGATTTTGTAACTACTTATAGTTTTCAACAAATGAGGCTGAACAAATTACACGCTACCATTGATTCGACGCGTGAAAGATGGGCTTCCCACAATTCTCATCGTTAAATCCTAGAAAGGCAATCGTTAGCCCCGGCGAAACGTGGAAGCCTGCATTCCTGCGCCTGAAAAAAAAAGAGAATGGCAGCTGAAGGGTGCATGCGAGTTTAAACATACCACTCTGTCGAATGTCGTCATGAGACTTTATTTTTTGGCATGATTCCAGAAAGGATTGATTGAACTATGAAGATACCGTGCTACAGCTCTCGTGAAAAATGAGGAATAAGACAATAAAAAATTTAAAAATGGAAACAGCAAATAACACCAAAAAACAGCATATACTATAGCTTGCCATCTCAAAAGGGCGAATGTGCCTACAATATAAGGAGGTTTATTCCCGTTAGCGCCAACGATATTGCAGTAAGGCACAGCTCGAACGTACCAGTGAAAAAGCGCTTACGCAATTCCAAGGTCTTCCGGCAGAAGTTTCTCTCGTTCTCTGACCGGGCCCTTCATTCGACGTAAGCAAACAGCCCTTCTGGCGCTTCGGCTGGGACCGTGTATGCTGAATGTTGGGGAGGGGATGGAGTCCCCGACGGTGGACGGACCACTTCAACTCGGTCCTTAGAACCGCCACAATTTGGTGCCTACCTCAGAACTAAGCCTTTAAGAGAGGACGGGTCCGTCCCCTCTCCAAGGCTTAGTCCTGGGGTGAGCAAACCAGCCCTTCTGGCGGAGCTGCTGGACCAGCTGCACCACTTGCGTCAGTACTCTCCTATCGTACCAACCGAGTTGAAGTAAACCGTCGACCGTGGGGACCCCATCCCCTCCCCAACATTCAGCATACGGTCCCAGCCGAAACGCCAAAAGGGCTGGTTTGCTTACCTCTTCATTCGTCCTTGCCCTAATCCTGCACCAAAAATGCTGAGTGGAATGTTTAGTTGAAGTCGAAGAGTCGTGAAATCTCTTGGTGTGAAAAAGGATCTCGCCAGCGTCCAAAAGCAAGATAGAGACCTATTTCGCCGTGTTCAGACCGCTTAACCCATTTTCGTCTTCACTAGCGCAGCTTTTGACCTGGCGCCTTCACCTTTTCATTTCCATCCGACACCCACTGAGCCTACCTTCCTTTCAATCTATGGCAAAGGCGGAACTAGTGGCAGTGTCAGACTTGGACCTTGCGTGATTCGCTATTAATAAAACGGTGCGCCAGCGATTCGAGCATTGCTTCACGCTCAGTGTCTGTATCGGCGAGTGTCTCCATTAGAGTCACTCAGTATCCAACTCCCAATGGGTGTACAGGCTCTCGTGGAACCTCGGCACTAAACGTGCTTTTGGGCAGACATTGTATCAGCTTTTTGGAGAACAGTTCGCGGAAACTAGTGGGCTCCGGCGGATAATGGGCCTCTACTTGGTAGGACAGGCGTCCGGGCCTCCTATCGGGGACATCAAACAATCTAAAAATAAGTAAGACTGCGAAATCACAACGCCACACCGCCTCGAATAATATGAATGAGAACTGTGCATATATTCAACAAAATAAGAAATATCGTGGGTTGAACGGAAAATTGATGAGAGCAAATGTCACATGAATTTCACTCTCGAACGGAAAAACAGCAAAAAGTCACTGACCCGGTACAGAGCATCCGCCACGCTACAGGCAACTAGATATTTGGTACGAGAAGAGAAATGCTTTATTCTGATGCCAACTTCTCGCAACTGCGCCGACCATTCTTCTCGTCTTGACACAGTCGAGCCTAGGGTGATGACTGTCTTCCGATGAACCACTCCATTTTCTTTCGACATCTTCCTGAAATGGCATTAACTCCTGAAACAGCAGCAACGGGTGATACTTTGAAGCTTGATAGACTAATCATCTGGCGGAGACAAATTTTAATCAAATTTGTGCCGATTATTCTGACATAACTTCCACCTGCAAACTTCCACATGTTTTCCAAGCATTCCACATATCTTTCTAAGAAGAAAATCAAAATCCCCATTCTATCAAAGTAAAGATCGGCCAAAGCAAAAGGGCGAATGAATAAAAGCGAGAGTTTATTACCACTCGATAAGAACCTATTGAAGCAGAAAATAATGTCGATTGAACTTCAAATAGCACATAAACCTATGAGGCGGATAGATAGCGACGTCTAAGCCGATCAAAGTCTTACATTTATTGGCAGCGCTGATAACGCTTCATGTTTGATCAGTCATCGCCAACGATTGAGACAAACAAACAACATAATAAACACGTTTACGGTTGTAGAACAAAAGAGCCGAAAGACCGCTCTGAAAGGATTTACAGAATGATGTTGTACAACAAACAAGCGCTCTACACTTTGGGTCATGACTGAGATCCATTCCGAAGATAGCAGAACCCGTTATTTTCCATTGAAAACGTGAAGCAATGAAAGCGAGAAGCAAGTTAGTCTTTTCAAGCCCGTTTTCACAACAATCGAAAATACAGCAAAATTAGTAGTAGTCTAATAATAACCATGGCTAAATTCATACTTGGATTCAGTGCAATGGGTCTGCTGGAAAAAAACATTCAAAATTCACCACCTAACCGAAATCCCCTTCCCACGACGTCATTCGAAAGAAGGCAAAGAAGAACTCCCGAGGACAATTGAATGGATTTGAAATTGCCAAGGCGAAAACCCGCTCCCGAACTGACCTCGATTTTCAAACGTGTGGCCCCTTTGTGCGCATCCGGTTATTCATTATGCAAACACCAAGCACTCAAAAGATAAAAGTATCAGCAAGACTTGAACTAAGGAGAACGAAGGAGCATGTGGTTATGAGATATTCATGGTGCAAAATCCAAGGAAGAAGAAAATTCCCAAAAAAAATGAGAAAAATATCCAGAATTTGAAAATTCCCATGGGTTACTGATATGATGCCAAATACGTCAAAAGGGAGAGGCGTTCGATGGATTAGTGAGCGATTCTCAAGCATTAAGCCATATTTAGGCCTCTGAAAACGGCGTTGGTCGGCCGAGGCCGAAATAGACCTCGTGGCGTAAGTATAAAGAACACAAAAACCGAGCCGAGGCTTCAAAATGAGAGAACTTAAAGTCTACAGTTGAAATTGTTTTATTGCTATTTGAATGAGGCCATTTTCCAAATTCAATTTCCATCGAAAAAAAGTTCTGGACAAAAAATAGGAGAAAGTTTCAAATATACCTAAAATGCTTCACAGTAATTCAAGTAACTCAACGTCTTAGAAAAAAAAACGAAGCAGACAATAAAAAAAAGGGAGACCCCCCAATAACAAGCCTGAGTTCAAGTTAGCAACGGAGTAATAGTGCCCTCATACTTCAATTTATTTCTTTATCCCCTATGCTAAAAATTGTACATGGATGAACGGAATAAAATATTAATGTCACCTTCTAAGCAAACACAAAGAATAGGAAAGCTCCCGAGTTGCATTGAGGAAAGCCGTTCCTCAAATTCTCACATGATCATGCCTCTCCGCCCTCGTTTCCGTTCACCTCTATTTCAGAGACCAATAAACAGTTGTAATGCCAGAACAATGCTTCACGTCACCATGCTTTATGAACCTCAGGCTCCCACTTCCTCTAGTACACTTCTCCCAACTCCACAAGGGCCCTCCAGACTTTCCCTGAACTCTAGTGCAAAACATATCACATTTCAACATTTCCTAAGAAAGCTAACAGTGAAAGACTAGTACTTCGATGACAGTGAAAGAGATAGGATGAATATGATAGATACACGGCATATTTAGGACGAAAAATAAGAATACAAAACCCAACACAAAAATTGCCTGATTTACATTTGGTTCTAAGATAGTGAAGCCTTTACGAGTTGTTCACGCCCAACAAGTCACAAAGATGCACATCATTCAGAAAGAAAAAAACCTTGATACTCGTAGGAAATCGCCACCTTTGAGTCAACTGCAAATAACCTTCGCTGCCGCAAAGAAGCGAACATCCACAAGTTTTTGGAATATAAGCTGCAACAACTCGTTCCAACGCGGAGAGTACATTCAGCCATAAAAAAAGTGGACACACACAAAAAAAATTAAAGAGAATTCTTTCAATTACGAACGTTTGGAGGACTAAGGGACCTTACCCCTATTCTTGATCATGCAATTACGTCAGAAAAGATAGAAACATATTCTGTTAAAAACCAAAATATCTATGTCTTGCAGTGAGAAGTGTCAAACTCACTCCAAAACCTCTACTTATTAGCGTAATAAAAACTGGTTCATAAAGTTGGGCAAAATCTGGCGTGCTTGACATTTTGCTGATACTACCTTAACTTTTCAAACTTCATTCCTGCTAAAAGTCACTTGAGGTTTGCAACAAAAAGCAGACAACTCTTGGTCCACTACCTCAAACCAATTTCAACTGATTTTTGGGAAGCAAAACTCGCGATGATGAATTCACGGTCTCGGATTTCTGTCAACCGTGAGGTTAGGCATATTAGTTTCCTGGAGCTGCCTGGAGTTCTCACGCATGCACACTACTACTGCATCTTGCTTTCTTTTACCTTCAAAGGCTTTGACTAATTAGCCACATCAAATGCGTGTTTCCATTACACTAAGTCCAAACCGTTGGCTAACAGAATCCTGTAGCCTTAAGGCTAGAGCAGAGTACGCGATTCGTGTGCACCCGCAACAAATAGCGTACTCCTGAGATCAGCCCTAATCCACAAATTTACCAATGTTATACACCGCCCTTCCATTGCACTTTTGTGCCCATCATTGCAAATTATGCAACTTCCCCAACTCACTCGGCGATAAATCAGGGTACTGTATTAAAGACAGAAACTAAGATTCCAATACATTCATGAAAAACTTCGATCACATACCGTTCTGATTTGGCTGCTGCATGAGCATCTGTGTTCAAGAGAAGAGAGCTAACGGAATGCTTCGCTTCCACAGCCTCCAGCACCATCGCTCATACCTAAACTTTATGCAATTTCAACAAAAAAGCAACAATAACAAGATACAGTGTACACGATAATATATGCGATAACATTGTCAACTGATCATAAAATATAATTTCAATATCAAAAATCAATACTGCACGGGGTTTTGGGGTTTTTGTCGCCATCAGCGACGGCAGGAGGTAGATGAAGGATCGAGACGTCGAACGAGTTTCTTTTCTGAGTGAACACCAGATCTACAGGTGGATTGTGAGTGCCAACAGACGTGATCCTGGGTAATCGTAGAATCCTCAAATAGCCGTGATATTTATCCAAACTGCTTAACTTCTTTTGTTCTTCTTCAGAAATCGAAACCAACTGAATATAGACGTCAGCTGTTACAAAAAGCTCTTCAGAATGTTTCCTGAACATCGTTTCGCTTTCAGATGTAGCGAACAGCACCACATAGGACTTCCGCAGCAGAGGCCGAATGCGGACGAGAAACGCTGAGAAGCTGGACGAATCGCTCCAGATAGGTGATCCAAGGTGTCTTAATGACAATCCTTAATAGGTTCTTTGTAGGACCTCTGGTCATACTGTACCGCTCGTTTCTACACAAATCGACTATGTGCTTATAGAGGGCTTCGTAAGATAGTGACCCATCGTAGCGAAGAATCTTGAGAAGAAAACATCTCCGTGTTGAGCGGCTTTCCAAGATCGTAGCGATTCTTCTCGCCAACAGACGAGTTTACTTGAGGCTTAGCAGCGTAACGGAACGCTATTCGTAGATCCTCCGGTTGGTCTG